TCACTTCCGGAGTGAGGAATAATTAAATAGGTATATATTGAAATATTCCATGTTTGTGTGTTAAACCTCTATAATCTTAGCTGCAAAGATAAGATAAAAAATTATTAAATTATGCCTTCTCACTTCCTGTGTTATTAGTCGAAAGTCCCAATCTGGTTGTAGTGTTTTCTTCACCCATAGGAGCGTTTTTGCCAAATTCTGGTGCAATAAATTCCTGAAAAGATATATTTGTGTATCGCTCAAGTAGTATTATTCGCTCCTTCCAACCAAAGTCGTTGGTGCATTTTTGCTCCAACTTATTTCAAATGGATGGCATTTTGATCTTTATCATTAGTCCCACTTGAAATAAATAATAACTTAAAATGTATGAAGTTTTTTAATTTTATGAAACTTTCTGCATCAATTATTCTTGAAAGAATTCAAACTAAATAGTTTTAAAAATAGGTGCGTTTAAGGCATATAAGCCTAGTATTGATAAGAGCTTGCATTTATTCTCCCAGTAAGTTACTTGTTTTGCCAGTAAGTCAAAGTATTCAGGTGTGCTTCAAAGATTGATTGAAGACGTTCGAGATTTACCGGTGTGGAATACAGTTGCCTAGAATGCAGATTAAGCGCTGTTGAAAACTTGCTATAACTCATGACAGAGATACTTGCTTATTTCAATCACACCCTTTTTCATCAAGGTACTTTACAAAAACTGCAGGTCAGAGAATCTAATTTTTTGTTAAATAGAATTCGGAAAGATAAAGAGGTTCACTAAATATTATTATTATTTCAAATGTCAGGCTTTATGATATTTATCATTAGCCCTTTAACGTTGACTTCAGCTTCCCCCAAGGGGGGGTACATTTATAGCAGTTAATTAATGGTAATTCATTAGCTGTCTTCTTGCTTCCCAGTATTTTGGCTTTCCGTCCTTGTCTTTAGAGCTGGACACCGAATCAGGTGGGTCTTCTCCATTTCCTCCTGTAGGTTACATAGAGGGCATGTTCGTTGAATGTATACTCCCAATCTGTGAAGACGTTTTTGCCAAGCAATCGTGTCCGGTACGTAGTCTAAACTCCGGCTCTGTCCGATACGTAGTCTAAACTCAGCAACGGCTTCGATTCTCGCCGCCGGGTATGTCGGAGAGTGCCACTGTCCACTATTTCTCCTAGCTATATCGAAGAGTGCCACTGTCCACTGTTTCTGATTCTTGGCTAGTCGGCTATGTCGGAGAGTGCCACTGTCCACTGTTTCTCTGTTGTTCGAGCTTTGAGTTCGTTGAACCTTGAGGTCTGGAAAGCCGGGTATGTCGGAGAGTGCCACTGTCCACTATTTCTCCTCTAATCGGAGAGTGCCACTGTCCACTGTTTCCTTGAGTTCGTTGAACCTTGAGGTCTCCACTGTCCACTGTTTCTCCTTTGTTTGAGCTTTAAGTTCGTTGGTATGGTCTGGAATTCTCTCCTGATTAAGGCCTTCATTATTGAGGTCTTGAATTCTCACTAAATATATGGGAGTTAAGTCGATCAATCGATTCGGGACTTTTATTGGCAGGGCGGGGGGAGAGAGAAAGGCTCTGCCACACACCTAATAAGCAGAAATTTGACTAACTATTAGGCAATAGCATTAAATATGGTAAAGGAATTTAGCCAAAGAAATAGATTAGAGGCGCGAAAGACCAGGAATTAATTAAAATAGAACAAGTTGAGGTAATATGTGGGAGAAGTGACAGATAACTGC